GTTTGCAGCAGAAGCAGTTCAAGCTACCATCTTTTTTAGAGTACATAAGCCAGCTTCTTCTGACTTTTTCTCCATTGACTAAGACTCTGTTAAAATAGTCATGTTGACACCTTCGACCGTCCTTTTGTTTAGGGAATGTGAAGTTATTTTCTATTTGAAATGGACCACTGTGAACCAACTCTGTTCGTACCTTATCAGTTAGAGGAGATGGCCAGTCAGCCGGGTCTATTGGAGCAACAGAAGGAGGAGCGCTTGATGCTGCTGCTGCTGCATCACTGCTGGGTTGTGCTGCTGAGGTGGAGGTGACAGGAGGATTTGCAACGGTGGGACTGAGAAACCTCAGCATCTGAAGACAGAAGAGGAGTATGTGACACCAGTCTAATAATAAACACATGATTTTAAGAATAAAATAAAATGAAATAATATAAATGAAAAACCTAGAGATACATGCATGATGTAGACTATACTGTATAATATACAATATACTTTTTCTGATACAAATTATCTAAGTAATTCATATATTAGTAACAATTTCAATTTTATTGTCATTACAGTGAAATGCTAATTAGCAGAATGCATTGCAAAGAATGAGTAAACTGCAGTATAATATACCATGTGGGAATGCTAAATTATGCTCTAACATTAATGATGTGCACTTTAACACTGTTAAGTTTAACATGATAAATGCACTTTAGACAGTATGAACTGTAACACAACAAACAGCTAGGCTTACAACTATGGAACATGAAGAGCATTTTGATTGACTATTACAAGCTGAGAAAACGTCAGATAACCATGTCAATGCAATTGACGTTATAACACCTGCTGAATACATCTAATATTTACACATTTGCCCGAGGAGGAATGATGGGGGTAGTTACATTACTATTTTCCATAACAACTAGGCCCTTCCATAACATTATCTGACGACGTTAACAGATAGATAGCGCTAGCTATTTATTGATTAGCAAACCATGTTGTTATGCTAATTGTTAATGGCGATTATGGCGTTATCAGTCATCGTTCGGAAACAGCAAAATAATATCATTGACATCATCTTTACCGTAACATTACCTCTGTCTTTGTCGAGTTTTTCCTCCTCTTCTTTTCTTTTTTTCCTCCCCTGGGCACCAGACAGTTTGGGACGTTTTGACATGTTGAGCTTGTTGACCCATCAAAAAACGACCACCGTGTAGCAGGTAAAGTCGGATTATTTGGAAGAGAGGGGAGGCGTCTTAGGCAAGTAGGCTATATTATTATTATTATTACTACTACTACTACTACTACTTAGTAGGCTTTGCTGCTATGCAGTTAAATTAATGTGGTGGGCTTATTCTTTTCTGAAGTCTAGTTTTAAGAATAGTGGAAGTTAAACTTTTTTTTCTTCCTCAATTTCTGGCGCCCCCTGGATGTACGGCGCCCTTAGCATTTGCCTATACTGCCTGTGCCACGGGCTGGACCTGACTGCATATAATATTCCGCAGTAACCTAACGCTGTTTACTTTGGCTTTTTAGACTGATGAAAATATTTTCCCCATGAATAACGTGCAGATGTACAATCAGTTTGGAGTAATATGTTATTTTCTGATCCGATCTTTTTCCTGTGATGACCACCTTTTATATCACTATCCATCAGTCTATAGAGGGAGCCACTGTCATCTACTGATCGCATCCCGGTGAGAGAAAAGCCCGGAGCTCAACCTGCCCGGTACACCCCCCCACCCCCATGTTATACGCGCTCCGACAACAATCTAACATCCTTTGCACCGTTACCGGATAAAGGTCAGCCTGCTTAGTGCACACATTAATTTACAACAGCAGCAGCATTTGCAGCATAAACCTGGGACGTTTTCTTCAGCACACCAGGAGAGTTGGAAATCCGCAGGTAACTGCAGGTACGTCGCCAAGGCGCCAGGAGATGACAAAGATAACAATGAAACCAACAGGACACAGAACTGTTCAACGAGTGTGACTGTTAGAACAAATGAGAAAAAAACTGCAGTACTATTTGTTTTGATGTAGCTCGCTTGTTTCAGGGAATTATCCAGTAACAAGTGTCAGTGTTTTGAAACGGTGCTGTGATGAACAAGGAAGAATCAAGAAAATGTACATAATATTTGAGCTTGTTAGATTAGTGGTGCAATTAAAGAATTTTAATCAGCATGAGCGCTGCATGGCTGATTAACGTGTTCATTTTCTTGACACACAAGGACATGTTTACGCACGATCTTTACGCGTATTACGCACTAATCCTTTTTCAGAAAAGCGGTGTAAGAACAACACTTCACCTAGTTGAAGTCGCAGATTTAGTTGGAGCGGTGCCAATATAAACATCAGCCAGCAGCGGAAGATGTTGGGACTCGTTAAGAAATGCCATCAGTGATGTAATGACTGGTATTAAAAGTTGTAGGCTTGTCAAGTAAAAAGATCTTGCATGCTCTATCAATTTGGTTCCACATCTCATTACAGTGCTGCTCCGAAGTTTGGTCGACATGTTGGGGATCTGCGTGTGTCTTTGTGCGGTTTTCACGCATGTCCTCTCTCAAGAGGCTGAGGAGCCCGTCTCCTACACAGTAAGTGAGCAATTTTTACCTGTTAGTGTTATCTCTGTGTAGGTTTAAGCACAACCTGCCATGTTGGAAATTCTGTGTACTTTCTTTTGCCGTCGAAAAACTCGGGGTTCATTGTTTTTATGTACTGAATATTGGTACACAAAAGGACATTAAATATGTATTATTTCATGCTAGTCATCTGACCTTTACAGTGCACAGAGGGGTATGAGTATGACAGCGCCAGAGAGCAGTGCAGAGGTGAGAAACAGGAATATTGCCTTAAATATTAAGCCTGGGTTAGGGCACATTTGTAGAACTTTTTATTCTTAATGGTTGTCTTTATTTTTCATCTATTTCATCTAGGATAAAAATAAATGGTCATTTTATCCAGTTCATATAATTCCAGTATTGAAAATGCCATATCCAATGCTTTTCTTTCTTTCTGTCATACTTTTCTGTGTCAGATATTGATGAATGTGCCTTGTTAAATGACGCCTGCAAAGGTGGGATGCAGTGTATCAATCACTTTGGTGGATACCTCTGCCTCCCCAAAAGCGCTGTCATCTATATCAGCAAGGAGGGCGATCAGGTTCCGCCGGACCCTGTCCCTCCTGTCCCACCAAGCCAGCCTCAGCCCCCACAAGTGCCTTCAGGAGGCCAGAGGATCTCTCAGCCCACTCGGACCATTCACTGTGCACCTGGATTCACTGCAGATGACCAGAACTTCTGTAGAGGTAAAATTAGCCGCCCAGACACTCCACCTTCCCCTCCTCCCTGTTCAGCTATAAGACAGCGTCAAGTACTTTAAAAACTAGAATTTCATTTTTTACTGCTTTACACCAACACATGGAAACGATTCCTCTTATCTCAGCAAGTGGCTCTGTCAGCGGGACCACAAAATATGGTCAAGAAGTGTAAAAGGGATGACAGCCACACTCTTTTTTAATCTTACAGAACATTAAAGGTTTGACTTTTGGCCTTCACGAAAGAGATTACGCCCTAAAATGTGGATGCACATTGGAATTCCACTGTACTGACTGCTGTGGATAGCATTATACTGGCAGAGTTAAATGTTGATTTTGAGAAGTGTTTTTAATCTCCTGAGTATTGGTAATATGCTTTTTTCTGCACTTAACCAGATGTACAGTAGAGCTGCTGCCTGGAACAATGTGTCTCAATGTCTCTCTAGCAAAGCTGTGTAGGTATTTGATAATTACTTGCTAAAGACTTTAGCGCCTCAATAAGAAAAGCTCTAAAGGTGAACTGTTCATCCATCTGACACTCATCAACAGCTAAACCACACTTAGCAGCCAGATGTGTTGCAAGCTTCTCATTTTTTCTCTCTGTGATGCCATGTTTTCTAAACTCTTTGGTAGCTCGCAGCATGATGTTCTTGGCTCGAGTTCATCTTTTTTCTAAAGTGTAAAAAAAAAGGTTTTGGTGTGGGTGTTCAGATCCTCTGGCTCGGGCGCAAATCAAGGAGAGATTTCATAATATTATGACATGCCCTGTGCTTACATATAGCCTTTACTGTACACCTACAGGATAGTCAGGATATTCCATGGGCCTTGACTAGCTTCAGATTTTGGGAGCTGTGCAAGACTGTGTGGGTGTGATCCTGTGTCTGAGCAAGCATCTTTGATCTTCTCAAATGAGGAGTGGTTTAAAGATTAATTCTTTGTGTCACTAACACACATCCATTGGTGCCCTTCGTGCTGTTTTGTGCCAGGTGTTCATAGCTCCACCTGAGAAAGAGAGAGAATGTTATCACTCATAACCTTTTTTTAGGTTTTAGGTTGTCTTGGTTTGTGAGGCAGTGCAGGAAGGATGGAGTGAGTGTGGATATGTAGAGTTAGCTCTATAAATGTAATATAAGGTAAAGTGCATTACTATGCAGTACAAGTGTTGAGTGGTTAGGAGCTCCCCTTGCCAATAGCCAGAGGTATGAGATGAGTGCCTGTATGGTAAGGAATGCGGTCACAGAGCTCCACTAAAAGTTACAAATTAGATTTTATACCTGGGGAAGTGATATATGTGAAGTGCTTTATGTGTTCCTCTAAATTGGAGCCCCATTAGGTTTTATTAGAGTGTAAAACATGGCAGCACATCAGCTAAAGTAGCCACATATGCGAGCTGGCATAGATGTAATGCTTATTCATTCACTGGCTAAACAAAGATAGGCTGTTGTCGGTATTATTGCTTGAAATGACTGGAGATTTAACTGGAAGGAATCCCGTGCCGTTTTGTGGGTGTATATTACAGCTGGGAGAGTGATATAATCTTTGTTTACATCAGTCTCTGGTTTCTCTGTCATTACCTTTAACTCGCTACAATGAGCCAGTTGTTCTTGGATACAGAATTATCTTTTTTTGTTGTTGTTGTTCTGCAATGGCTGTTTTGCACAGCTATGTATATTGCTAGCGAAGGAATTCCCATTAACTTTCAGTGGGGGGAAAACCTCAATGTATCAAATAGCACTTACATCAGGCTCCTTCCCCGCTAGCTCACCGCTCTCTGGATGAAACCTAGAGTGCCGAGTCAGGTAGGGCAAAAGGGGAGGATGAAAGGCCGTCACTGACTAAATAACCACAGATGTGCCAGAGCAGTGGCCAAACCATGTTGTACCGACATCATGGGCTATGCTGCTGCTGAGTTGTTTTGGTGATTTACTGCTGAGTGTGTGGCAAATAGTAAAGAGGTCAGCTAAATGCTCCGCACAAATTGAAGCCAATTTTCCAAAATACAACTTTAAATTGTTGAAAAAACAAATGAGTCTCCCCTAACTGCACTGTTCTTTATGCTGATTAAAAGTGAAACAAACCACAGATTATATTACTCCTTCCTGAAATGTTTCCCTTTAAATGCAGCTTTGTTCCCATGTGGATAGCTACTTGCAAATATGAATAAAGTCCTTTGACCCTGACTGTAAGACCCGAGCCTAGGTTTATTCTTTTAGTCACACTTAGGAGAAGCCCGGCCACACAGAGAAACTATAAACCAGTACTCTATGTGTTGCCACACATTTCCATGACATCCACCGTCCTCCAAACATATACTTACATATACATACTGTGTTTACTACTACAAGTGGCCTGTTGTATTCTTGTGTATGCATATTAACTCTCATTTTCAAGAGGGGTGAGATCACCTCCTCCTAGAAATGAAAGTTGTCCTTCAAAAGCAGGTGAATCACTCATTAAATGTGATGGAAAGCATTTACTTTATGTTTCCCGTTTACAGCTGAGCAGTGTTTGAGACCACACCCTCATGCTTAGAAACACGGACATAACTGTATTGTCAGTGACTTCTGGCATATAATGTTGGCCAAAGAGAATAATACATAACATACAATACTTTAGCTGCTGCCTCGTTATTTTTCATCTCTATGTTAGGCACTCATGGGATGTAGTATGGGACATGAATGGGCATACCACTCCTGTTTACCTGTCTGGTTTCCTGGGGTCATTCAGGCTACATTATCACCTACATGCCTGACTAACTTCAGCTACATTTGGCTGCTCTTCACTTGGCTGGAAATCTTTGATAAATACTTTCTATTAAGGCCAGTAATCCATGCGTGACAGAGAACTTGTACTTTTCCGAACAAGGCAGAGTGCATGCAATAACATTTTTCCATGCAGATGCAATGCACTTGGGAGCAATATCTCTGGAATGTCAATGGTGGTTATGTTGTTTCTATTTGCTCTCATCTTTTGTGATGGTAAGAATTACTCAGCACCTTGACAGATAAGAACTGGATCAATATGCAACACACAGGAACAAGCAGAGAGCAGGACAAGCAGAGAGAGCCCCGATGCTGCAAAGCACAACACGACTCCACTAGTGGGCTTCATGATTCGACCTTTACAGTTCAGACATTATAGCTCCACATGTTGCTGTCTCATCCTGACATTTGGCTTTGAAGAAACAAGGCCCAAACGACCGAGCGATGTAATAAGATGTGATGACACACAGACAGTTTTTCAGAAAATTCCTTCAGATGTGATCTTGTTCATGTTTGTTTCCTTTAAACATCCATCAAAGAAAAGAAACAGGTGTAGAAAACATTGGACAGACAAGAGAGAGACTTCATCACTGAGGTGAGCACTAAAACATTCTGCAGGAGGAAGTGAGATCAAACAGAAAGTCCCTGCTTGATGAAAACTGACCCACTGTTTAGGGTCACTCAAACAAAAAGACACCTGAGGCAAAGCTTTGTGCCTATTGAACCCTCCTATTAGCAGCTTAGCTCTTGTCTTCCACCTGTTCTCAGAGCGATGATTTGCACTGCCCTACAACAGTGTCTTCCCTGTGCTATTGTCCTAGTACCCTATGATTTTACTGGCCAGCTCATTGCACCTATTCCTGTTGTACGTTTGAACTGTACATGCTTTCTAGGGACGGCAATGTCGGTTGGTCTATCAGCCACAGACTTTGGTCCAGATTGAAGTATCTGGATACTTTGGTACAGACATTCATGTCCCTCCCAGGATGAATTGTATTCATGTTGGCAACCCTCCAACTTTTAGTTTCAGCTGTTTTCAATAATTGCTTTTTTCCTCCTAGTTCTATGATCAAATACTGCAAACCTGCAAAACTATTCTTGTTTAGTATTATTAGAAATAGTGACCATTCTCACATAATGTTTTCCCTTCAGATGACCATAATGTAAATAAGCTTTTAGCTTAGCTTTAGTTTTTTTTTTACTGCATGACAGGACTGGATGACTGTAACACTGCATTTCCTTTTATTGTTGTCTTTCTATCTACAGTTTGGGAAATTCAGAAACACAAATAAGCTCATTAGTTTTCTCATCAGTTCAATCAGAACACAGGCAAAATCTGTTTTTCCATGATTATGTTAACACCCCTAAACTCTATACTTCTTATGCATCAGCATGGTCAAAATGACCAAACGATATTTACACAAAAAGCATTAACTTGTTTTTATTGGTACATGTAACCTTTTATTAAACCCGGAGATTTAAAGGATGAAATCAACCAGAGCTCAGCAGATCGTGTTCCAATATTAGCTCATCACGTACGTATATATATCAGTTTCTGAGTCCAGCATTGGCCCTGTTTTAAAGCCGATACTACTGAATCAACATGGGGGGATTTTTGGCTTTTCAAACTCACTTTCCATTTGTAAACTGTGCCAGAAAACCTGTTGATGTGGCAATGTACCAGATGCTCATAAAGAAGTTTCAAATTCTTTAAAGCTCTTTTAAATTATTGCCTGTATCAGTGTCTCTATGGCAGGATGTTTTTAATTTACTAATGTTAGAAGTCACGAAATTATGAGCAAAACAATTACAATTAAAAGACCTTAACACAAGAACACCCTAAAACAAAGTGATTACATGAGGAATCTTAATATAAATTTAAGAGAATGTCTTATAATCCTTCTGTATTTTAACGGCCATACAATGGTGACTGTTTTTTGTCCGCTTCCTAACGCTGTTGGAGAGGACTAGAGTATCTATCCAGCCATCCTGCAGGCAGATCCCCATTTGGCCCACGCAGTGTTGCTCTACAGTGTGCTGTTACTGCTTGTGGTTTACTGCTGCCATCACATCAACGATAGCAGAGAGAGGGAAGGAGGAAGCAGCTTTGCCGTGCCTCCTCAGTGCACTGTAAGTGCCTAATATTGTTGTTGTTATTCTCCCTGAGGTCGGTGCCTGTGCAACGGCCAGCTGCTTCCTCCTCTGATGTGCTTACATGTGTTGATCTTT